CGGTATCACCTCTCTGATCCTCTAGTTATGAATTATAATTATAATAAAAATTAAAGAAGCAGAGTAGCTGCATTTGTAACTGTTAAAACAGACAACATAGCAGCTATTTATTTATTTAATTGTTTATATTGTTTATTTATTTAGTTGTTGGAGGTGGGTACCAAGCTGGGTCCAGCTCTTCAAGTTGGTGAAAGTTTAGTGTGGAAAAAAGAACAGCAGATGGCAGCACCAGCAGAACAGAATACAAGACAGTCCCCTCCTGCAGAAGCCACTGGGCCCTCAGTGCCGCCCCCTAGTGCCACTTTCCAAGAGCCCAGACCATTGAAACAGAGTGCGCCTTTGGCACCAATCAGAGGCCCTTCTGTGGAGAATAACAACAGCAGCGATGTGAAGTCGGAAGAAAATGTTGCAGAAGTTGTACCAAAATCAGGGCTGTCAGGTGTGGATGATTTACCCTCGCCTCCAACAGAGACGCCTGCTATGAATATAATCGATGATGCACCTGAGCCCCCGTCTCATGACCCTGAAGAAAAAGATCAACCCAGAATTCCCAAGAGAGAGGTGTTACCGCCATTATAAGGAAAAGATGGCAGTTGTACTGTGATCGGATATCAGATAACTTTATCCAAAGTTTTATGAACTAATTCTAACTTGTGATGACATATCAGCATGGATAGATACAACTAACATGGGAACTGTTGGATAGCTGTTGTGAAAAGGCCGTAGAAAGATTTTCTAGCACTTGTTATAAAGAAGCCTATACCTACAGATGGGGATAGAACCTAGTATGTTGTCAAGGGGTGCTCAGAGGGGGGTCTGTAGCATGTGCTATACTGGGGCCTGGAATAGGGTAACAGCCTCTATTGCATAAATATGACTGGGTTCAATTTATGAAGGTCAATGTAGCTAAAAAGATTGGGAGTCAAAAGATTTGGCAATAGAAGAAAACCGTTTGGTTGTTTTTCATTAATTTTTGGTTGTTGGTTCAGCCTGAAGTATTTAGTCTTTGTAATTTGCTGGAACAAAATTTGCCTGAGCTTACTCTGAAAGATTAAAAATACATTTATCAGTTTTAATAACTTTTATGTTTTCAAGCAGCTTTTTATTTGTCAAATCACTTTAATTTATTATTTCATAGCAACATGTGTCTGTAACTTTTTATTTGGAAAATGTTGCTTATATAAATGGTATTGTCTTGCTATTGGGAAATGTAAAAATTGTTAAAGGGATAACAACTGTTTGTATGAAAGTCATATAACTAAATACATTGCAGACTAACTTTGAAAGTTGGAATGGATCATTAATCATTAGTAAGCATGGAAAATTAGTTATCTCAGGAAAATCAGTTTTTTGGCCAAAACGAACAGTTGTTATCCTTTTAATACAAACTATAGATATTATGAAACTGCTAAATGAATCCCAGATATTTTCTTAAGAATAAGATGTTGTTAGCCAGGAATAAATCAAGTTTAAAATTGTCAGAATTTGTGCAGTTACGTTGTCAGGTTTTAAGGGGTTGGGGGGAATGGCTGGAATTTGTTGAATCCAGGAGTTGAACTAATCTGAACTGTCACATATCAGACATTATTTAGCATCTTTCATGATTCTGTCATGTCTAATGGAAAAAAGTGCAAAGCACAAGCCGTGTTGTATTAAAATCTTCATGATACTTTATTTGAATGTTTTACATTATTGCGGATTATGCCTACAAATTAAAAATCTCTCATACTTCTGAAAAGTTGAAAGTATTTGAAAAACTCCCGTGACAGTAATATATCTATTTTGGTCAAAGTATTGAGTGTTACACATTGTCACTATGTTTGCACTGAAGTTCAATGGAACATACTTCAAATGTTCAAGATGTTTTGTTTTAACAACTACTGTTTTTATTAACAATACAATTAAGTTAACTGACGAGTACATAATTGTCGCTCTACTCTCCATTTGTGACTGAATGTGACATTAAATATATGACTTTAATAATCATTGCAAATAATGAAATATATAAAAAGATCATTTTAAAACAGTTTTCTCTGCTTGTCAAATGAAAGTTGTCACAATGACTATACAACTTTTAGAGAAAACACTAAAATCACAGTTATCTTAAGCTTGTATATAGACTAGAATTATTGTGTAGCTGCATTTAACGTAACAATATCAGAATTGTATTGCCCTTTGTTAGACGTAGCAACCTTTTTGCACTGAGAATTGCTGTCTGATAAATCAAAATAATGCACATCTTACAAACAGATTGATTGAAATTTGACAATGGAGGGAAAAAGCTCACTTGAGACTTTCACGGTATTTTGAGGATAAAAATGATGGGTGCAGAGTTAAAAACTTGTGACAAAACAACATCTCTCTTCATCCTTAAAAATAAAGTTATGGCC